TAAACACACCATTATCACGAAAGGACACTTCAGTACTTTGCTCCCTTCCATTACTGTTACATTTAGACTCTCCCGCAGGGGAATCAAGGGTCTCTCATGCCCCCAGTGCTCTGGACAGGATCCCTACAAAACTCTGGTCCACTGGCCATGATGATATTGGCCGCCTTAAAGTTCCTCCTGTTGTGGTTTCACTTTTGCCAGAAGTTGCTCCTCCCAGAAGACCTCAATATCCGCTGAAACCTGCTCAAGTTCTCGCAATCTCCAAACAGGTGGAAAGCCTCCTAGCCAAGGGAGCTCTTGTCAAGTGTGTGTCACCATGTAACACTCCTTTATTCCCTGTCAAGAAAAGGACTGAAAAAGGTCAACCTGAACAGTATCGTATGGTTCAAGATCTACGTGCCGTTAAAGATGTCACTGTCAAGGACACGGCTGTTGTTCCAAATCCACATACATTGCTATCACAGGTTCCACCCTCTGACACAATCTTCACACTTGTGGATCTTGCTAATGCCTTTTTCAGTGTACCCCCGGACTCATCCTGTCAATACCTCTTCGCCTTTACTCATGAGGGCCAGCAATATACATGGACTGTTATGCCCCAGGGGGCTCAGAATTCACCCACCCAGTTTGCCCATGCCATGTCAATGGTCCTGGAACCCTGGCAAAAGACACACACAGATGTGGTTCTGCTCCAATATGTCGATGATCTACTTCTCTGTGCTGATGATCTTCCAACTGCTGAACGACTTTCAGAAGATCTCCTCTGTTTCCTGGCTGAAGCAGGCTGCAAGGCCTCTAAATCGAAACTCCAATGGTGCCGGCCCTCAGTGGTCTTCTTGGGACATTGCCTTTCCCGTGGCACCCGTCACCTTACAAAGGACAGGATCTTAGCTATCCTGAATCTACCTATCCCTTCTACACACCAATCTCTCCATGCCTTCTTAGGCCTAATTACATATTGCAGATCCTGGATTCCAGACGCCTCTCAGCGGATGCAGCCACTATATGATGTCTTGAAAAATGATCCCTTCTCACTCTCACCATATGCTTTTGATTATTTCACTTCTTTGAAGAAAGCCATTGCATCCGCCCCTGCCCTGGGTTTACCAAACTACCAGTTGCCCTTTAAGCTATTTGTTTCTGAAAAACTGGGCCACGCTTCCGGAGTTCTCACTCAACAACATGGCTCCAGACAAAGACCTATTGGCTATTTTTCATGCATGCTTGATCCTGTTGCCAGAGGCAGCCCTTCCTGTTTCAGAGCTGTATTTGCTGCCAGTGCTCTCCTGGACAAGACTAATGCCTTTGTTCTCGGGCATTCTCTGACCGTCTTGGCTCCACATGATATTTCTGCAATTCTCCAACAAACCCAACCACGACATCTCTCCTCTCAACGTCACTTGAGGTTGCAAACCTCGTTATTGTTGCCAGACAATGTTACTCTTCAACGCTGCTACTCGCTGAATCCTGCCACTCTTCTGCCACTTCCGAAGGGGGGAGTAGCACAACACTGGTACAGCCTGGATATCAATCCAGATGCCCGAATGGAGTTCCAGCTGCCCACCTTTACAAATCCTCATGATCGCCAATCAGAAAACTTGTTACATTGCACCCTATGGTTCAAAGACAATCCAGGCCCTGATGTGGATTATGAAGAAGAACTATTCCAACTGGTTGAAATTCACATCACATTGACAGACCTGTTGTGGGACTCCAGATGCAACATGCTCCTATTGGTATACCTTCCAGCAGGGGTGTCTCACCTCTACCGCCATTGGGAAATGGCTGTCCCACACATATCCCTCACCAAGTCCCCCGATATCCTATAGCAAGATCTTGGTCCAATGGCCAAATCCTGGAGTGCCATGACCCAAGAACAACTTGAATCATCGGGAGTCACTAAAAGAATCATCAATTGTAACACAACAGGATTTCCTCGACATCACACAGAGATCTTTGAAGACCTCCCACCTATGGAACAGGATCCAGAGGCCCCTCATGATTGCTTCGAACAAATGAAGATGGAAACCACCCACTTACCAACCGTACATGAAGTTGCCCTACCCAATCCAGACCAGACATTGTTTGTGGATGGTTCTAGATTTGCTGACGAACAAGGGCAGTATCATACATTGGCGGATCCAGGGG